ATGTTGGTGCTGGGGACAAAACCTGAGGATTATCCTGAACTCCTTGTCCTTCTGCTTCCACATGCAGGTGCCCAGATTACAGGAGCAAACCATCACACTTGGTTTATGCAGGTCTGAGGACTGAACCAGTACCTTGTGCTTACTATGCAAGTTCTCTGTAGAGCTATATCCAAGTTCTGACCTACTATCTTTTCATTTTTATTTTATTTATTGTTGCGTAGGTGTACATAACATGTCTGGGGACATGTGTGGAAGTCAAAGAACAACTTTGTGGAGTTGGTTCTCTCCTTCCATTTTTTGACATTGTTGGGACAAGGTCTCACTATGTAGCCTGGCCTGGAACTCAGATTGTAGACCAGGCTGGCCTTGAACCCACAGACATCTTCCTGACTCTATCTCCAAAGTGCTGGAATAAAATCATGCACCAACACATTTGGCTTCTCCTTCCACTATTGTGTGAGTTCCAGGGATTGAACTCAGGTCACCAGGCTTGTACAAAAGCACTTTTACCTGATGATCCATCTAATCCCTCTCCCATCAATATCATAATACAACCTTTCTAAAGAGGAGTGCAATTGAAATATATGATAAAACATGACTGAACTTTGAAAACAGTTAAGTGAAACAAGGCAGATACAAAAGAAACAAAAATCACGATTCCCTTCATGTAAAATACCCAGAACAAGCAAGTTTAGGAGAGATGGTTCAGGGGTTAAGAGCACTGGCTACTCCTCCAGAGGTCCTGAGTTCAATTCCCAGCAACCACATGGTGGCTCACAACCATCTACAATGAGATCCGGTTCCCTCTTCTGTTGTGCAGGCAGAACACTGTATATATAATACATAAATAAATCTTAAAAAAAACCAGAACAAGCAAGTTTAGACAGACAGTAGATTAGAGGTTTCCTTTGGGGCTAAGGAAAGCCTATTAGAAATAAATATGTAGTGGTGACAGTCGCACAGCATTGTGCACACACAAAATGTCGTTGAACTGTAAAGTTACAAACATTTACATTAGGGGCTGGAAAGAAGACTTGGCAGTGAAGAGAGCCAGCTGATTTTCCAGAGTACTCAAGTGAGGTTCCAAACACCCACACGGTAGCTCATAACCAGTTCCAGGGAATCTAAGCCCTCTAAAGCTGGATGGTACCAGGCACACACATGTTGCCCATACATACATGCAGACATAATACTCATACATATAAAATAAATGGATCTAAAATTTTAAAAATGGGCTCAACTGGCAAAGTTTCTTATGCATTTGTAAAATTTTTAAATTTCATTTACCTTTTACTCTCTCTCTCTCTCTCTCTCTCTCTCTCTCTCTCTGTGTGTGTGTGTGTGTGTGTGTGTGTGTGTGTGTGTGTGTGTGTGTGTGTGTATATGTGTGCACCATGGCATGAGTATGGAGGTTAGAGGCCAACTTTCAAGAGTTGGTTCTTGCCTACCATGTAGGCAGATGTTTCTTTCCTGCAGCTGCTCTCAAATAATCACTCAGAGACTTAATATTAAATTACAAAGCTGGGCCAATAGCTCAGGTTTGTTACAGCTAGCTCTTACACTTAAATTAACCCATATTTCTTATCTATGCTTTGCCATATAGTTTGGTACCTTTGCTCAGTATGGAATGCTCATCTTGCTCTCTCTGGGTCTGCTGATGACTCTCTCACTCAGCTCCTCTTCATCCCAGCATCCTTAGTTTGATTGCCCCACCTACCTTTATCCTGCCTTGCTATAGGTCAATCAGATTCTTTATTAACCAATGAGAGTACTACATACTCCTAGTGTACAGAAGGATTATTCCACAGCACTATTGTGTGGGCTACACGGACTGAACTCAGCACCTTTACCTGCTGAACCTTCACTGGTCCATTCTTACACATTTTTAAAAATCACAGTTTGAAAAATAATATGATATACTCAGACCATCAAATTTGATACTGAATGGGTGACTAAAATAGAAAGTGTAAGTAAAGTCTATCTCAGTGAAGATGTAAACGTGTGAACAAATGTGTAGCACTGAACAAGAGACAGAAAGTGCTAGGAGGTTGGTGAGATGTCTTAGCAGGTAAAAGTACTTGTCCTCACAGAGAAACCCTGTCTCGAAATCCCACCCCCACAAAAGAAAAGTGCTTGCCTCACACACACACACACACACACACATACACACACACACACACACACACACACACACACACACACACACCTACACACACAAATAAATCTCAAAGAAGAAAAGTTAACCACACAAAGTAAGTTGGGGCAGGGGCTAGGAAGATGGCCCAGTCAGCAAGTACTGTAAGTATGAGGACCTGAGTTCCAATTCCATCACCCACAGAAAAGCTGGATGCAGAGTGTGTATGTGTAACCTCAGCATTGGGGGAACAGAGGCAATCTCTAGAGTTCACTGGCCTTGGGGAAGAGACAGGCAATCCCCAGAGCTCACTGGCCTTGGGGAAGAGACAGGCAATCCCCAGAGCTCACTGGCCTTGGGGAAGAGACAGGCAATCCCTAGAGCTCACTGGCCAATCAGTTTAGCCAAATCAGTTTGCTCCAGGTTTAGTAAGAGATCTTGTTTCAAAAAATAAGATGTGAGCCAGGTGGTAGTGATGCACACCTTTAATCCCAGCACTTGGGAGGCAGAGGCAGGAGGATCTCTGTGAGGCCATTCTGGATAGCCAGAGGTGTTATACAGAGAAACTCTGTCTTAAAAAAAAAAAAAGTGAGGCAGCAAGATGGCTCCGCTAGAAATGCACTTGCTGCCAGTCCTGATCATGTGAGTTTGATCCCTGGAACCCACTTGGTGGACAGAGAGGACTGTTTCTTCCTCTCATCTCCATCCATGCAGGACCACACATGTACCAGGCTTTCTTTTGGGCCACCAACCAGCTCCCAAATAATTGCACGGAGACTCCTTATTAGTTATGAATGCTCAGCTTAGCTTAGGCTCATTTCTGGCTCGCTCTTTTCACTTCAACCTGTTTCTCTTTGTCTACCTTCTGTCTCGGGGCCTTTTACTTTTCTTCCCTTCTATAACTCACCTTCACTGCCTCTTCACAGCAGACTTCCCCTGTCTGCTGGCGGTGGCTGCCTGACTTGTTCCGGGCGGGTTCCCTCTTTCCTTTAGTTCTCTTCTCTCTTGTTTTTTCTTTCCTAGATATCCTCTCTGCCTGCCAGCCCTGCCTATCCTCCTGCCTAGCTATTGGCTGTTCAGCTTTTTATTAGACCAATCAGGTGCCTTAGGCACATCTTTACATAATTAGACACACATCCTTACATGATAAACAAACGCAGCACAAACACATATAACACACCTTTACACAGTGAAATTAATATTCTGCAGAATAAACAAATCTAGCACATCTTTGCCCAGTTAAAATAACATTCTACAACATATACAGATACATACACATACATAAAATAAACAAAATGTAATTATTTGGAGGGGTTGTTAAACCACTTTATTCAGAGATGTGGGGAAGGGCTGAAGAGGTCCACATGATTTGATGTCCTAAGCAGGACAGATCTTTGAGGCCTCATTGCTAAAATCTGTAACTTTTTGGGGGTGGGTGGTTGGGTAGGTGCTGCTGAGCACTGAACCCAGGGCCTAGGCAAGTGCTCTATCACTGATCTACATACCCTATCTCTTCCTTGATTTCCCTCTCCTCCCCTCCCCATATCCCCCTTTCTCCCCTAGCCCCCTCTCTCCAGGGTCTAGCTTAACTGACCATGCAGGCCTTGATGGATCCCCTTGCCACCCCCTAAAGCCTTTACCACCAGGTCCAGCTCCGCTCAACTTTAAAAAACACAGAGTATGAAGGGCATCCCTTTAATTTCAGTGCTCAGTAGGCTGAAGCAGGTGGATCTCTGTGAGTTCAAGCCCACTCCAGCTTACATAGCAGGTCCCAGGCCAGGTCTGGAGCTATATAGTGAGACCCTGTTTGGAAAAATAAAGTACAGTTATCATTATTCCTACTCTATTGTGCTAGAGAACACCAGAACTTATTTCTTGTGTGAGTGTGTGTGTTCGTGTGTGGTGTGCATACACGTGTGCACATGCCTGTGGAGGTTCGAGCTTGACATTGTGGTATCTTTCTTCAGTCACTCTCCAACTTCAGTTTTTCACGATTTTGTGTGCAGATTTAAGCATATGAAACAATAAACTTATTTAGCTTTCCATTAACGCCTACACTCCACCTCTTAAAAAATTGTCACAGCCAGGAGAGGTGGAACACTCCTTTAATCCCAGAAACAGAGGCACAGGCAAGCAGATCTCTGTGAGTTCAAATTCAGTCTGATCTACATAGTGAGTTCCTCTGTGGACACGAACTTGGTTTCTAAGATGCAATGCCCAGGTTTCGCCAGGCTCCAGAAGCTGACCACCAGATTCCACCGGGAAGACCCGATCTCAGGCACCAGGGATGTCCTGGTCCCCAGAATCGTTGCAGATGTCCCGCCATTCCGGAGCCAATTGCAGTACAGCGGCTCCTTGCGGTTACAGCCAATCATCTGCCGCTGCGATTGCTCACAGGGAGGTCGTTGAGGCAGCAGGTTGCCCGTCCTTTTTGAAGGCCTCTCCTCCCCACACACATAGAAACGAACACCAAGCCTACTGACGCGGCCATTGTATTTAAGGGCAAATGGGCCGCTGCGGGCCGCGGAGGTCCGAAAGGCGCCATATCTGCCAAGCTGCAGAAATGGCGCCTTAGTGCCGTCCATGGCAACTGAAGCCAGGCCGTCGCCATATTTTCTAAAGGCATCTTCCGGGTTCCTTCACCGGAGCTGTGTCTCCGTGCGAGCGGCTGTGGAGTGAACTATGGGGCATTGCTAGTCTCCGCCGGAGCCCTGCAGCCCTCAGCGGCTACACGCTGCCCACTTTCTTCCGCTCCTGCTGGGGCGACCCTGACCGAGGGGCGTGGCAAGGGCGTGGTTTCCCGGGGAAGCCGGGGCCGGAAGCCGGAGGCTGGGGCGGCCAAGCCGCTGCCGGGGCAGGAGCCCCGATGGCGCCACCCCCGGCTCCGCTGCTGGTGCCGATGCCCGGGGAGATCTGGCCTGGTTTCAGGAAGCCTGAGCTCGTGAGCTTCGCGGACGTGGCCGTGTACTTCTCCCCGCAGGAGTGGGGCTGCCTGCGGCCCGCGCAGAGAGCCCTGTACCGGGAGGTGATGCGCGAGACCTACGGCCTCCTGGGCGCGCTCGGTGAGGCCCCGGGTCAGAGCCCCGCCCCCCATCCTCTTCGGGGGTTCACAGGGGAGAGGCTGTAGACCGACCAAGTGCATTGTGAGCCTTAATCCCGCACTTTTCCACCAGCAGCATCAGTCACCTTCCATTCCCAGGGCTTCCTCGGGAGTCTCCATTCAGGCAAGAGCATCGCAAACCCTGCCCAGGTTGATTTGAGCATACGTTCCCAGGAGATGCCCTCACCCTAGTGGGATGCCATCTGCCCGGGACAGTCGCTCAGGCCAGCACTGTGACCCCTGTTCTCTCTCAGGGTTCCCGGGCCCCAAACCAGCTCTCATCTCTTGGATGGAACAGGAGAGTGAGGCTTGGAGCCCCGCCGCCCAGGATCCTGAGGAGGGGGAGAGCCTGGGAGGAGCTCCGAGAGGTGAGGGATTGTCCCAGGTCCTGCATCTGTTTGTCCGGGGGTTTCTTCTCTAGCAAAGTGTTCTTTCAGATTCCCCATTCCAGCATCCCTACAGAATTTCAATAGTCAGCTCATTTCCCACTTTTCAAAACCAACTAAGGCTGGTCGTGATGGCATACACCTTTAACCCCAGCTCTCAGCAGAGGCAGGTGGATTTGAGGCCAATCAAGGCTACATATAGTAATGAAAGACCCCCGGCTGAGATCTTCCTCCGGGAGAGACCCCAAACCCAAGGAACACACCGAAACCACAGATCAGATGCAAAAGCAAGAGGGTTTATTTAGACCAGGTACCTGGGGCGAAGTCTCTTGGAGGACTTGCGCGCCTTCCTA